ATAATGTAAAAAAAGGGAAAATCCAATTACCTGAATGACCACTGGAATGCATCCTTGCAAAACACTGTCTTCCATGCGTCCACTCCAACCATCACCAGGAAGCACTCCACAGAAAACAGAACTTGCTATATCTGCATGATAGTTATCAGAACGTACTGGGGTCATGATGACATCTTCTGCATGTTGTTTCCCTAGTTTTCCATCCTTGTTGGGGCTTGATCCAAACTCCTTTGCCAACTTTTGTCTAATACCCATACTATACCTGCATCATTTTTTAAACCAGGGTCTTCTATAAGAGTTGCAAAAAAAAAAATCAAGATCTAAAGTAAGAGTTTAACTTTGTAACCAAGGGACATAGTTCAAATCTTTTAGAAGACGGTTGTAAAAATAACACTATGCCACTATATTTAATAATAATTTTCCTCTTTTTAATTGTTTTATAAAGAAAAAAAAAAGCTCAGTTGACCAACAATAGACAAGAATGTTTGTTCATAACAAGTGAGGGAAGTTATGCCAATTTCATTCAAAACTTCAGGCATCAAGATGTCAAGGTTACTAACTAGAGACAATGAATATTCTTTGAACACAAAACATCTATCATAACAAAACTACAGTTTGCATCAGGATGTCGAGGTTACTAACTAGAGACAATGAATATTCTTTGAACACAACATCTATCATAATAAAACTACAGTTTTCTAGTAGACATACGAGTCTTCTGGTCTTCCTTGAGGGTATGCTGGTCCCAAATTCCCATTGAAGAAAAACAGTGTCTTCCGCTTTTCTCGAGGCCTGAAAAAAAATCATACTATAGTTGCATTCAATTTCAACTACATAAATAGAACAGTAGCTTCAAGCATGACCAGGAAAAGCAACTAAAATCTGATACCGAGCCCAAAATTTTGAAGCCAACACATTAGCATGAGGAACTTTCCAAGCAGGAAGCACGAGATCTTTGTCAGGGTCAAAGCATGGATGAGTGCCTCTCATATGAGTTGAAATCTCATCCCAGTTATCAGCCCAATAGGCTGTGGTTGAATGGTTATGTTTTGTATTTGTGTTTCCCCAATGTACTAACATCATGCTGTTCCATATTTCCTTAGGGGCATAACAAGCACCTTCATCCCATGAGAAAAACTGCCTTCAGATACAAAAGTGGAACTATTAGCATCTTCTTCTTACAAGTGGATACAGTTAACTTTACTTCGTAGAAAACTCTTCAATAGATAGGAAAAACAATTCTCCTAGTACATACCCAGATGTGGTCCCTTCCAGATGAGCGATTCCAGTAAGGATATTGCTCAACAATGTGATAATATGCACTCTTATAATATTCTAAAGTCAGCGAGCTCCTCAACCCCTTATGCCTCTGAACGTGTTCAAGAAAAAGTGAGAAACATTATAGGTATCCAATCCAACACTACATTGATGTATCCAATTATATGTCCCAAAACAGGATTTACAATCCAAGAGCAACATAGTCTGAGCATTTACGAAAGTAAGAACAAACGGGTAACAGATGACTAGAAGTATTTTTATCCATCCATCCAAAAAGGGGAAAAGGAAGATGAAACTATCTTTTAATTTGTGTCCATTTTGAAATTACTACCTAGGTACATCAAGAGAAAGCAAATCCATGAACATCATAGCATTGCTAACATGCACAGGCATGAAACAATACATCACTGATGCAGTCTATTTAATAGATGTCCCATATACAATAATCAACGAGTCAATGAGTAGTGAACATTCTACAGATCTATTTCAGTAAATATAGCAGTTAATAAAATATACCTGCATACTCAAGTGAGGAGCATCGTCAGCACGAGTTATTATGCATGAATCAAGGACAGGAACAAAGAAAAAATCTGCTTCTTCACCATTTAGTGTTCGATGTGGACTAGCTAACAAACTTTCATAAATTGCCATCTGCAGAGAAGCAGGCATGGGGCATAAATATATTACAGAAGAAATAAAATTTCACCAGCTGAAGTGCTCCTAAAATAACATTCGTCGAATACCTGAGCTCCGTACAGATGCTCTGTCCATACTGTTGCATTATTGCCACCATAAATTCTATTTACACACTCTAACTTGAAATGACGTCCCTATAATAACCAAAAAGAATAAAATAAAAATAAAAATAAAATAGAAAAATATCAAAAGAAAAATATCTTCAGATGTAATCATGAGAATTGACACTTGGAATATCCTCACCTCCAATAGTAGGCTGTTGTACTCAGCAGGCAAATCGTAAATATATATAAGAGGCCTTTTCTTTGCCACCACAGCCTTAAGATTGTTTATTTTTTCACTGACATGAATGTTGTCAGGAACGTCAACCCGAGCAGGACGAAGCCAAGTAGGCCACTCTCTTATAGAAGATATCACAGATGGAGTGCTGCAATCTGCTCCATACCAGCCATTGTCACACTGAAAATATGCCTATATTCAATTTATCTATTGATACTGGGTGGAAATGCACATTGTTACACCGAAAATACACAACATGCAGCTTATCTACTGGAATCGAATGGAAACAAAATAGAACTTCTGTTGCACAGAATGTGAGAGTAGTTTCATTATATCCTACTGATGTCCTTGAGAAACATATCTGTCCGATTTGAAGCAATTCCTGGTATTGTTATGGTTTGCTCATGTTCTGTTTTGGGTTCTTGCTGTTTCTTATGTCTTATTATTTGTTGAATGGTTTTGTATTCTTCTATTCTATATTTATTTAACGTTGTCCCAATTAAAGAATGTTAAAATTGGGGACTCGGGTAACTTCATTCAAGAGATCACACTTTTTCATAATGAGCCTAAAAACTTGAGATAGAAAACTTCATCAAATAAGTTTAGGTAGTAATTGGTTTACTACCAGCCTATGGCTGCAAAGCAAAAGAATAGATGGCTAACGAAGTACTTATTCTTCTAGTAAACAATTGAAACGCCAAAGATAGGTGCCAGATTATTAAACAAAAGAATCACCTGACAAAATCCACCACGACACTGGCCATGTCCAGAACACTGATTAATGCAAACAGATTGAACAGACACTTCACAGAATCGTCCCCAAAGACCATCATATTTGCAATCACATTCCTCTTTGAATTTTACCTTGCCAGCATATGCTCCGACTGGGTCTACATTACACCAACCTAGTATACTACTATTAGTTGTGAACACATCTTGATCAACTATTGTCCAATTCACTAATTTGGGACCGCCAGGTTCAGAAGGTGGACTGAAACAGATTTAAGGTGTGTGACTTGAATTGGAAATTGAGAAGAAGAAAAAACTAGCAAATGAAACACAATACTAGTAGTAATTCAATTTTACTTACTTAAATTGAAACCCACATGTCTCTGCCAGTGGGCGAGATGGATATTTTGTTCCTTCTCCACAGAAGCACATTGCCCTTGTTTTGTCGCAGTTGGCTGGGCAAATCGATACAACCCATCGGCCAAATGGCTCCACTGGTGATCCTGGGAAGTTGCATTCTAACTCCAGTTTGTCAGTGCATCCATCCCCTGCCACCTCAGAAAATAATATGAATTTCCAAACCAAATAACAAATTATGTTTTGGTGCAATCATCAAACATATTCTGAAAATGGTAGCATAGCAACAGGTTATAATAGTTCTCTTCTTTTTCTAGTTTAAAAAATACTTCTGTACCAAAAAAAATCATTACATTATATAATGAAAGCTGATACATCCTACAAGATTTAGGGAATTCAAAATTGTGAAAACATATACGTCTGATTTAGCAACTTCTTTTTGTTCTCTCATCTCAACTTCCTTTGTAGCATAACAAGTGAATGGTTTGCTATGGATATGAAGAATTAAATTTAAAATTTATTCCCACTTATTCAGCACTAGAAGAACTAGAAGAATCTTACATTTAAATGGGTTAGGGTTTTAAATCAAATATCAAAAATAATAGTTCGGGTCCCAAAAAAAAAGGTAACATGTCAGCCATTAGTTGGTGGAATAAATTTTGCAGGTAATATACCTAGCAAAAACTCCAAAGCACTTGGTAATCTAACAAAAACTCTTCATTAGAGAAAATGATTTTCGCATGTTTGGGGTTTAAAAATACTCTATACGTCCTTAACATGTTTATTGTGTGCGATTTACAAGTTACCAAAGAATGTGACTGTCAGTGTCCTGATAAATTCTATAGTTCTGATCAGCGCTGCACTAAGAGAGATGGATAAACGATATGTGAAAGCTAGAACTAGAAGTTTTAAAAAATAAGTTATGTTTCTCCTATTTGCATCTTCTGATCAAGCATTATGTACCTAGTGAATAAAATGAATGTAGAGAACAGAACTAACCAGCATAACCATGAAAGCATCGACATTGTCCCAACTCTCGATTACAAACTCCCAGACCACTGCAGTCATTTTTGCATTCATTTCCACCTATTATCTGCAAGCAATCATATTAAAAAGCAGAGAAATTTTACTTTTGGAAACCAGAAATTAACTCAATACCAATAACAACCATAAAAATTCAGCACAAAACCTCTGAAATAACAACTTGAAAAGAAGACATGAAACAAAAAAAAACGGAATTAGAACATCAGTTGTCACCTCAGAAACGTTGATTTCCTTTGTAACAGAATCACAACCTGCAAGCCAGCGACCAATCTCATCCTTCCACGGCGCACCCTTATAAGCAACCGAACCGTGCAAATCAGCCGGAAACCGATGCTTGAAATCAATGACAGGTTCATCCCAACCACCCTTACTTATCAACTCCACGGATGCATTACTGGAAACACATGAATTTGAAGCTAACTTAAAATAATCAAAAGAAGGCGTCAACGGAAACAAGAACAAATGAACTACAGAAGCCAATGCCAAAACCGAAGCAATCGTTGCGGCAAGAGACCAAGACCAAGAACACCTCCAGGTTTTCATGGAGAACAAATCTAATAGGTCTCTTGCCATTGGCGAAACGGAATCACTAGAAAACAATAATCTTATCTAATTCATCAATCTGTCTTGACATCACAACCTGAAAACATCAACAATGAACAATCATGAACTTACAATGAGAATAATAACCATAAGAAACAGTGAGAATTCACAACAACTGTCACAAAACCCTATTTAAATACTGAACATGTAAATTGAATATGAATAAAGAAACGAAACTTGTGATGACTCACATTTCACGGATCTGAATCGAAAAGAGAGAAGCTGATTCAGCAATGTTGAAGAATGAAGAATAGTGTAATGAGAAGATGATGTATAAAAATATCTAAAGGGGATGGTGATGATTTTGGTCAATGATTATGCGAAAAGTTACGTCGTTTATTATTTTGTTGAAATCACGACGTGAAGAGGGGGACCACTCAGTTGTAGATTCTCCTTTAAAGTATTAGTATATGTAATTAATAAATGTACTCACATTCTCTTCTCACTCAGTTTAGCTTCTCATTCGTGAACCAATATGTATTTGTTTTTGGGCTTTCAATTATTTATTATTTATTTATTTAAAGTCACCTATAAACATAAGGACATTTTTGCCCCGCCGGCATGGATCCGATTTCAACGTTTTTGTTGGCATCGAGAGTATTATCTTTCTTTTATTTTTTTAGGAGTTGCATAATGTACCCTAAATATTGTTTCCACGTCTAAACGAATAATCAAAATTATTTTTTGTTAAAGAAAATTAGTGAGATATCCTACATTTGTATAGGTATTGGTACACGCTCATTTATTTTTAAATAAAATAAAAAAACGAAATTATTTAATTAATAAAATTTATCATTTTTAAAAAAATGATAAGTCGTTGCTGAAAATTTTTGTATATATAAATTCTTTTAAAGCAACAATATAATTTTTTTGGATATAAATTTTTATTGGCTCATTATATTTTTGAATCAGTAGTTTACTTTTCTTAACAAAATTTATTATTATTTTATTGACTTGAGAAATTCTAAAATTAACTATATTTTACACTTTATACATATAAATTTAAATTCAAAGTATTTAAATATTTAGTATATAATTTATGGTAATATATGTTAATTTTTGAAACAAACTCATGTGTACGGGTGCGGTGCACTATAATGTCACTATTTTTAATATTTATTAAAAAATAAATTAAATATATAATTAATGAAAAAATATTTAATCAATATACGGATACTGTGTATTACGCGTATTTGTTTTTAAAATATAATAATATAAAATTAAAAAAAAATAAAAATATTTATCCAAAATTTTTTATTAATTTGAAAAGAAACAATAAATCGGTATGACATACATCATGATCTATTATATTTTGAAAAATATTTTACTGGTGGATACTCATTTAAATTGTTTTGTAAGCCTTTTTACGAGTTAGTAAAAGACTTCATCATGACATACATGAAGAGCAATAGCTTCGTGAGTAATTTACACAATATAAAATTAACTAAGTTATTGGAATCATGGCCATGAAAAATGATTTCAAAAAAGTCAAACCAAATATCGTCTAAAACTCCATAATGCTTTCCAAAGCATTACATGTACGGAAACGACAATTCATTCATAATAATTAGACAACTAATTTCTCTGAGTAATAAGTAGATAGAAAAAACACATAAATAACACTATTACTAATTAGTACTATGCTCTTTGTAATGCCTAATTGATTTAATTAATTATATAATTAGATATTTTTGATTAATTTTGAATTATTTGTTGAAATATTGTGTTATGTCGGTATAAGTTGCGGTGTTGTTATTAGTCAGTTAAATTAAGTTGATTAATAATATTAATAAATAATATTAGAAAGTATAGAATATTAGTAGAATATTAATTAGACTTATTTTGATGGTTAGAAGTAGTAATAGGTGGGGTGTGTAAGTTAAGTCCATTAGGAATAATAATATTATTATTAGATTTAGTTATAATAATAAGAAATTAGGTTAATTAGAAAGATTAAGAAAGTCTTGGAGCAGTAACGTAGGAAGTTGCAGAGAAGAGGGATAAGAAAAAGAGGCAAAGTTAGGTTCGATCAGAAAATTGTATAGTGGCCTTCAATCCAAGGTAAATGTGAGGTTCTGACTCTATAATGGGAATTATGATGAATAGCATGTGGGAATCGAGTCGTGTAAAATTATTGATGTGTGTGTATATTTGTTGTGGTTGCTTCTGAAATTGCTGAAATTATTTTACTGTGAATGAATCTGTTGCTAGAAAAATGATCCTATGTTGGTGTTGGTATAGAGATCATGTTGTTGCGATTATACATTGTGTTGGTCTGAGTTTTGAGAAACTATTAATCGAAGGAAAACAGGATAAGAAGAAATTACAGAAATTTACGTGATCGGGAGCGGTTGAAGAAGAGTGTGTCGTGGGGCACATAAAATTGGAGTGTGCCGAGGGGGAGAAGAACGGTGTCGGTCGGTACCATAAGTGAGAGAGAGAGAGAGTGCCGAGTGGCACACCACCTGTGTTGAGGAGCACATTGCTCATTTCCCTTAATTATATTCCTTTTTGTTTTGTCATGAATTAATAATTTTGATAGTAACATCCTGGTAAATAATTTACACTTGAGTAGTAGGTTAATAGGAGACAAAGTACTACATATAGATATAATTAATAGATATTTGAATTAACTAATTTAATTAAGTTAGTATATGTATATGTATAGTGGAGATATTAAAATAGCAAGATTAATTTATATCAGAGTTATAATACTTACCATTAGCAGAGTTAGCAATAAAAATAACATAGTAGTATTAAATAGCGGTAACAGTAATATAATAGCAGTGGAGGATAATTTAGCAGGAGAGCCATTAAAAGTAGCCTACCTTGTAAAGTAGTAGTACCGGAATAGTCTTAATAATATTAATACAGAGTAGAAAATATTAGTAATTTGAGCAGCAGAATAATTAGTCGGTTTTGGTAGAATTATCTGAATAATCTCGCGAACCATTTGTAATGTGTTTTGGTCGAGACTGGGAATTGAATGATTTGCCGTAATACATGAATTTGCAGGTGATAATGATTTTTGTTGAAATGCCTATCATTATTGGCAATGTCAAGTTGTAAGCTTATGGCCAGTGTTCAATTGTGTTGAATCATTGTTGAATTAATTGTTGTTGATTGTTATTACATTCATACTGTTGTTGCATACATAGCATGTCAAGTTGGGAGCCAATGCTTGGTAAGTTGGCCTGGATTGGCAAGATTTGAAGTTGAAGGCTTATGCCTTGTTGATGCCTCTATTAATTGGCAGATTATTAAGTTGGAAGTTTTGCTCCGTTGGTACCGCATGCATTTGCGTCATAACAAATCGCATTTCATGTTGCATCTTGAGTTGTTGTGATGATGAGTTAGTTGTGATATTATGTTGATGACTTGGTTGCAATGGATGTCGTTTAAAAGCTATGAAGCGGTGATTTTGTATGATCTGATTCTAATATATTAATTATCATACATCTGATTATATTGTTTGATATCTCACCCCTTCTGTTTGAATGTTACCCCTATGTTGGTATCGTGCAGGTAATCCAGAATGAAGGTTGTTTACCTTCAGTAGTTCGAGTTGGTGTTGTCGCTCTGATATGTAGCACTCGGGGGGATGAACGAGTGTTTTCTTTATTGTTGGTTTTCATTATGTTGCTGAAGTTTTAAGTTGTTTTCATTAAAGACTTGTTTTCTTAAAGCCGTTTTGAGTTGGACAAGATGTTATGATGTTTTCAGTTGAATTTTTGAATCCGCTGCGTAGTAACGAAAGTTGTTTTATTTTTAAAGACTAAACAGGTTGTTATCGGTTCATCCAAATTTTTTGTGTTATGTATCCGAACCACATGAGATTAAATGTCGTTGTTTCTAAGTTAAAAGTGTAGCATTCCATTTGTTTGTTGGAGATTTTGTAACTCTGATTTTATATAATTCATTGGGTAGAAATGGAGTGTTACACTCTTTCTTTGGAGAATGGGTGACTTTGATTTCAACTTGTGAAATCGGGCATAGTGATTGTTCGTAGTGGTTCTTAGAATACAATTGTAACTTTCATGATTGAAATATTTTAGTAGGATTTGTTTTGAGCCTGCTTGAGAGCCGAGACTTTTGCATCAGAGGATGAATCATATTCCTGACGAGTTTTTCTCAGATATTGCTTGGCAGCATTGAGTTCTGTCATGATATGTGCATATCTTTTGATTGTGGTTTCAACTCTTCTTTCCAGGCACCATTGATTCATCTGAGTCACCACTCTTTTGTTTCGCCTGAGTTGCAGTTTCTATTGCCTTGATTGCTAGCTCCCTAGATTCAGTGATAAGTTTCAGCTTTTGTATCATGGATTGATCTTTGAGCCCTTTCACAATTGTCACATTCTTAAAATCTGGAGTTTGAAAACCAAAAAGAAAATTCATTATAAACAATATAAGATAACCTTTCCACTCAATTTTAACAGTAACAGTGTTACTAATAGCAATTCTTTTATATTTTATAATAGATCTATTGTATAATTCACATAAACAATAATATAACTGTAATACGGTGGAAGAACTGACTTGAGATATTGATTTTGGTCAATAATTTTGCGAAAAATTACGTCGTTTATTATCTTGTTAAAATCATGATGTCAAGAAAGGGACCACTCAGTTGTAGATTCTCCGTCAAAGTATTACTACTACTTTAGTATGTGTAATTAATAAATGTACTCACGTTCTCTTCTCACTCAGTATAGCTTCTCATTCATGAACCAATGTATTTGTTTTTGGGCTTTCAATTCTTTATTATTTATTTATTTAAAGTCACCTATAAACATAAGGACATTTTTGCCCCGCCGGCATGGATCCGATTTCAACGTTTTTGTTGGCCTCGAGAGTATTATCTTTCTTCTATTTTTTTAGGAGTTGCATAATGTACCCTAAATGTTGTTTCCACGTCTAAACGAATAATCAAAATTATTTTTTGTTAAAAGAAAATTAGTGAGATATCTGTACATTTGTATAGATATGTCTGACACGTTCATTTATTTTTAAAATAAAATAAAAAACAAAATTATTTAATTAATAAAATATATTATTTTTTAAAAAATGATAAGTCGTTGTTGAAAATTTTTGTGTATATAAAATTTTTTAAAGCAACAATATCATTTTTTTGGATATATTTTTATTGGCTCATTATATTTTTGAATCAGTAGTTTATTTTTCTTAACAAAGTTTATTATTATTTTATTGACTTGAAAAATTTTAAAATTAACTATATTTTACACTTTATACACATAGATTTAAATTAAACTAAATGTATTTTCTAAGTATTTAAATATATTCAGTATACAATTTATGGTAATATATGTTAATGTTTTAAATAAACTCGCGTGTACGCACGTGTACGGGTGTGGTGTGCTATAATGCCACAATTTTTAATGGTTATTAAAAAAATAAATTAAATATATAATTAATGAAAAAATATTTGATTAATACACGAGTACTGTGTATTATATGTATTTGTTTTTAAAATATAATAATATAAAATAAAATAAAAATAAAAATATTTATCCAAAAAATTTCATTAATTTGAAAAGAAGCAATAAATCGGTATGACATACATCATGACATATTATATTTTGAAAAAGATTTTACTGGTGGATACTCATTTAGGTTGGTTTTGTAAGCCTTTTTACGAGTTAGTAAAAGACTTCATCATGACATACATGAAGAGCAATAGCTTCATGAGTAATTTACACAATATAAAATTGAGTAAGTTATTGGAATCATGGCCATGAAAAATGATTTCAAAAAAGTCAAACCAAATATCGTCTAAAATTCCATAATGCTTTCCAAAGCATTACATGTACAGAAACGACAACTCATTCATATTCATTAGACAACTAATTTCTCTGAATAAATAAGTAGATAGAAAAAACCTATAAATAATACTACCACTAATTAGTGCTATGTTGTTTCTTTGGAGAATGGGTGACTTTGATTTCAACTTGTGAAATCGGACATAGTGATTGTTGGTAATGGTTCTTAGAATACAATTGCAACTTTTATGATTGAAATGTTTTAGTAGGATTTGTTTGGAGCCTGCTTGAGAGTCGGGACTTTTGCGTCAGAGGATGAATCATATTCCAGACGAGTTTTCCTTAGATATTGCTTGGCAGCATTGCATTCTATCATGATATATGCATATCTTTTGACTGCAGTTTCAACTCTTCTTTCCATACACCATTGATTCATCTGAGTCGCTGCTCTTTTGTTTCACTTAGGTTGCAGCTTCTATTGCCTTGATTGCTAGCTCCCTAGATTCAGTGATAAGTTTCAACTTTTGTTTCATGGACTGATCTTTGAGCCCTTTCACAACTGTCACATCCCTGAAATCTGGAGTTTGAAAACCAAAAAGAAAATTCATTATAAACAATATAAGATAACCTTTTCACTCAATTTTAACAGTAACAATGTTACTAATAACAGTGCTTTTGTATTTTGTAATAAATCTATTGTATAATTCACATAAACAATAATATAACTTAATTACTCTGATATTATAAAGGACGTGATTATCTCGTATGTATAGGTTCAACAATTATTCAACTACCCTTTTAAAGTTAAACGCTTTTTATGTGCCAAATATAGACATTAAACAAATAAACAGATATGAAGTGTATCAAGGTTCTGCCAGTACTTCAATAGGTTCCTCGCCTGAGCAATTTAAGAACACGCCATCAGATTAACCAAATAAATTCCTAAATGAATTGTCATTTCAACACGTTGCAAATTGCAATAAACATATATACCTTGCTCAATCTCGCCAAGAATCCCATCCTCTAAACATATCAGGACAAGTAAAATCCAAGTTGATGAAGTGTTTGATTTTATGCAACGATCAGATTATATCTCCCAAACCCCGCTTTTAGATATTGACTGGACAACAGTGTTGCCAACCCCATTACCCGTTCCCGCTCTTTCTATTCCCGTAATATGTTATACTCTTCAAACATTGAGAGTAAACGAATCTAAAAAACCAAATTTTGAAGCTGGTTTACTTGAGAACCAACTATAAGAATAATACTTAATAAGTATAAAAAACTCCATTTTTTAGTATGGAGAACTGCCAGGGACTTAGAGAGAGAACTTACACCGTCATACCTGAACTATACACCTCTTTTCGCTTTCCATGACATAGTTTTTGAAGTCAACACATCAACCATTGCTATATAAAAAAAAAAGACATATCACAAACATATGTAAATATTGATGCAAAGTCAAAATATTAAGAGTTGTAATTAGTAAAGCATGTCAAAATAAAAAGAGAGAACAAAAGCTCAATAAGTGATTCCAAAATTCTTTGACTGAAAAATACGCTTACCAGCATGTCCTTATTCCAGCGTCTGAGGAATGGTAGACCCGTGTTGTACGAACCAAGTGGTTCACAGTACCATTCACTTTTCATTGAATGTTATGTGATTTATTGCTTGTTCTATGCTCAGAACTTCCCATGGCCTCAATCCTGGAATCAGTTTAGCCAATTGCTTTCTATCTCACAACAATTCTCAAACCCAAAGAAAATTATTAAATAAATTAGTACATATAAATAAAGGAGCGATAAGAAGGAAAAAGTTAGTAACAATAATAAAGAGAACATAACAAGCACAATCGCAAAAATTGCATTTGTTCAAAATCCGCTGCACAATAGTGTTATAGGCTACAACGCCGCCATATCAATTATTTTGACAAATATTTGTACTAAATAGAGTATAGTGAATAACAACAATGTGTTCAACTCAGACTAAGTTAATAGCGGCCAATAACAGCCCTATCCCTCTATAACAGAGTGGAGGCCAACTGTTGTACTCCAAATTTTTCTCTTTCTTTTCTCAAGATATTTCTCACAAGATCTTCAATAGCTCAAGCTTGCACAAGTGTTGACTAGATCAAGCCATCTTCTCAACACTGATGTCTCAAATTAGGGTTTGGATTTGCATAGGGACAATTGGACTTTTAAATGTCTCAATTTACCTTCATGGATCATTATGGACCTTCAAGAATTCTCATGTCAAGTTTCAAGTCTTGCAGCTCAAAATTGCTCAGTCAATTGGCCAGATGATCCAAAATCAGTTGTATTGGATAAAAAGTCAATTATGGTCAACTTACAGTCAAACTTCAATATTTTTGACCAATATCACCATTTTGAATTCATATGTATCATTTTATCAAGTTTGAATCACAATTCCACAAGAAAAATGTTCAAGTCTTCAAAAGGGTAAAATTGCCAAAATTAGGGTTTTGGCTGAGAATGACCAGTCTTTGATTTTTGACCTAATGAATGACTTTTTGGTTTGAAACATGATCTCAAGGATTCAAATGCATCATCTTTACCTAATCGCATTACTCAATTCATCTCTTAAGATCAATTGTTTGATAGTTGAAATTTGGTCAACTGATGAAAAAGTCAACGGTACACCAAAAAGTCAAACTATGACTTTTTGGTCAAAATTCAATTTCAAAGATCACAAGTCATCAATACATTCAAAAATATGAAGCTTGATCATCAAGAAATCAAGAAAGTCAAAAGTCAATGTGAAAAGTCAAACTTTTCAAGACTTGGAATTTTTTAAAGTATTTTTATACATGATAATTTCATTACTTCATGCTAATCTTTCACTAAGATGCAGGATGATTCAAAGAAAACTTTCAACATGAAAGTTGTAGATCTTGATGAGATCTATAACTTTGATTTGCCGATCAAGTCCTAGAAGTGCTTGGATTTTGAGTTATAAATTCCTAAAGTCATGACATTTTTCATAAAACACTTGGAGAGATTTTCAATAGGTTTTGGTCAGTTTTTGTCTCAACTTCTTGGCCAATTTTCATCAAGTTCCAATTTGATTTATCCAAAATGGTCAACATGAAAGTTGTATACAATTTTTAAAGCTTTCTAAAACATCCAAGATAATGAATTTATCATACTTGATCTAGGAGATTCAAAGGCATGAAGTTGGGCGTCCATTCTTGAATTACTAGTCATTTTTATGAAGAACACATAATACAATCTTCATGCTATGCTGCATAATCTTACTTTGCAGGCCTTCTAACTTGCAAATCTCACCATAATTAATTTTTTACACAAACTTTTGAGCTATGATCCAAGTGGTTAAGGCATTATCCAATCCATTTTGCCATTTATGGCACAAAGGCACCATTGCCATTCACATAAAGCATGCTTTATACAAAGTCAACTCTCCTTAAGCCTATCAACTGTTTTTTCTGCACACACAATTTCAAAGCAAAAAGAAACATGCCAAAAAACTCCTAGCCACTTCAGATCCCTTTTGTACCATGCATTGGGACATCAAATTTCACATAACTTGGTTGTTTTATCTCAACCAAACTAGAATTACACAGCTTGTGAAACAAACTCT